AATCTCTGTTACAATGCAAGCAACAGTATCTGACTCCCTTGCTGTAGCAAGCTCAGGATAAATAGCCTTTGCTTTTCTGATTTGGTTGATCTTCATTTATTTCCACAGTGGAATATATAAGAAAAAATTCAAAAGAGAAGCCCTAGGTTTTCATATTGCAGTAATCTTCCCTTATCCCTGGGGGTTGTGTTTCAAGATGCCCAGAGGATGCCTAAAACCAAACCTTGTATATACTATGTTTTTTCAACCTGATAACCTAGACAGCTAAGTGACTAACAGGTTGGTAGCATAGACTGTGGATACGCTGGACAAAGGGACGATTCACCTCCCAGGTTGGACAGAGCAGGATGGCATGAGATTTCATCATGCTATTCAGAATGGCATGAGTACGAATAGTTTATTTCTGGAATTTTCCATGTAACATTTTCCGGCCATGGTTGACCACAGGTAAATGAAACCACAAAAACCTGAACTGCAGATAAGGGAGGACTACTGTAATGGTAAGTCGGAGTCATTAGGTGATTGTAACTCTATGAGTCTTTATTTACCCTTAGAAGAGTTGTAGAAATAAGGGTAAAAAAAATTGAACTGTTCAAAGACAGAGTCAGGAATGTCCTTTAACTTGTAATTGCCAAAATGATAGTTGTTCACTGATACTTACATCGACTAACATATAAACTTCTTGAATGAAACTTTGGTACACAAATGGGGCTCCAGAATGCTGACATTTACTCTAGGATTATGCAAGTCTCAGTATATGTTTGTATAATCAGGAAATAATTTCCAGATCAAGATCATCCTCAATTTAATTTGCAAAAGGAATTAAATAGTAATAATTATTTTTAAGTGATGTAAATATATTTGCTTTTAAAACTGTCAGTAGTGGCAGGGCGTGGTGGCTCACCCCTGTAATCCTAGCACTCTGGGAGGCTGAGGTGGGCGGATCGCTTGAGCTCAGGAGTTCGAGACCAGCCTGAGCAAGAGCAAGACCCTGTCTCTACTAAAAATAGAAATTAATTGGCCAACTAAAAATATATAGAAAAAATTAGCTGGGAATGGTGGTGCATGCCTGTAGTCCCAGCTACTTGGGAAACTGAGGCAGGAGAATCGCTTGAGCCCAGGAGTTTGAGGTTGCTGTGAGCTAGGTTGTTGCCTTGGCACTCTAGCCCGGGCAACAGAGTGAGACTCTGTCTCAAAAAAAAAAAAAAAAAAACCTGTCAGTAGTAATGGATGATATTTTAATCAAGTTTATTTAGGGTTCAGGTAAGAGATACCACTCAAACTAGCTTAAATAAAAAAGGCTAGAATTCTTTGCTGATACTCTTTATCAGACTAAGGAAACACTTTTCTATTGCTAGTTTGCTAATAGTTTTTAATCATGAATGATATTGAATCCATCAAATGTTTATTAAGATGATCATATGATTTTTCCCTTTTATTCTGTTAATGTAATATACAAGATTTCTTTTTAAAAAAAATATTGACCCAACCTGACATTACTGGAATACATTCATATATATATATATATATATGTGTGTGTGTGTGTGTGTGTGTATAGTGTGTGTGTATACATATGTATACATACATACACATAAATATGCAGTCATGTGTTGCTTAATGACAGGGATATGTTCTGAGAAATGTGTCAGGCAGTTTTGTCTTTGTGTGAACATCACAGAGTGTACTTACATAAGCCTAGAAGGTATAGCCTACTACATACCTAGGCTCTATGGTATAGCCTATTGCTCCTAGGCAACAAACCTGTACAGCATGTTACTGTACTGAGTACTGTAGGCAACTGGAACACAGTGGTAAGTATTTGTGTATGTAAACATATCTAAACGTAGAAAAGGTACAGTAAATGTATGGTATTATAATCTTATGAGACCACCATTGTGTGCGCAGTCCATCCTTGACTGAAACGTTGTTATATGGCACATGACTGTATATATAATGTATTATCCATTTTATGTATTATTCGATTTGATTTGCTGACATTTTATTTAGGAGTTCTGGATCTATTTCCATAGTGACATTGCTTGTAATTTTCCTTTGTTGTGATGTTTCTGTTAGGTTTTTGAATCAAAAGTATACTTATCTTATAAGACCAGTTGGGAAATGTTTCCATCTCTTCTGCTCTCTGGAAATTGGTGTTACTTCTTTCTTAAAAGTTTGGTAGACAAGGCCGGGCGCTGTGGCTCACGCCTGTAATCCTAGCTCTTGGGAGGCCGAGGCGGGCGGATTGCTCAAGGTCAGGAGTTCAAAACCAGCCTGAGCAAGAGCGAGACCCCATCTCTACTATAAACAGAAAGAAATTAATTGGCCAACTGATATATGTATAAAAAATTAGCCGGGCATGGTGGCGCATGCCTGTAGTCCCAGCTACTCGGGAGGCTGAGGCAGAAGGATCACTCGAGCCCAGGAGTTTGAGGTTGCTGTGAGCTAGGCTGACGCCACGGCACTCACTCTAGCCTGGACAACAAAGTGAGACTCTGTCTCAAAAAAAAAAAAAAGTTTGGTAGACATTACTGTAAAACCATGTGGGCCTACAGTTTTCTCCATGGAGATGTTTTATAATTACAGATTAAATTTCTTTAATACTTAAAGGAATATTCAGATTTTCTATTTATTTATTTTCTGTTATGTCAATTTTTAATAAGTTTTTCTGGGCATTTTTTCATTTTTATATTTTTTTAAGTAAACCTGTTCATAATATCATTCATGTTTATAGTGTTAGTGATTTCAATATTTACATTCTGATATTGGTTATTTGCCAATTTCAACAGCCTATCAATTTTATTGGTCTTTTCAGAGAGCCATCTTTTTTTTTTTTTTTTTTTTTTGAGACAGAGTCTCGCTTTCTTGCCTAGGCTAGAGTGAGTGCCATGGCGTCAGCCTAGCTCACAGCAACCTCAAACTCCTGGGCTCAAGCGATCCTCCTGCCTCAGCCTCCCGAGTAGCTGGGACTACAGGCACAAGCCACCATGCCCAGCTGATTTTTATATATATATATATTAGTTGGCCAATTAATTTCTTTCTATTTTTTTTATGGTAGAGACGGGGTCTCGCTCAGGCTGGTTTTGAACTCCTGACCTTGAGCAATCCGCCCGCCTCGGCCTCCCAGAGTGCTAGGATTATAGGCGTGAGCCACCGCGCCCGGCCTGAGAGCCATCTTTTGACTTTGTTGATCCTCTCAGTGTATGTATGTTCTTTTTCATTATTCTTTGTCTCTTTCCTTCAACTTCTTTTGTGCTTAATTTTTTTCTAATTTCTTGAGATTGATGTATGCCTCAATGATTGATCATTGATTTTTGGTCTTCTTTTTTATTAATGCATTTAAAACCACAAATCTTCCTCTAAGCATAGCTTTAGTTGCAGCTCACAAGTTTCAGATCTGTCTCTGAATCTAGAGCTTGGAAGTTTGCCTGTTATACCATCCTGCCACAACATGGCATCATTTCCCCAGAATAGCATGACAATCAGATCAGTAGAATTTATAAGTTTTGGGTGGGTAATTGTGTGTGTCTCAATAGGTAGAAAGTTAATTTTGGATGGTGGTGGGAGAAGTCTTACATGTAATACCAAATTTCATATGATCTTATTTCTTTCTCTAATGCAGTGATTTCTATGGATAGAAATGGACAGTTTGATATGACAGCTTTTTATAAGGATCATCTTTAAGAAAAGATTATTTAATTTTGGAAATCATAGGGGGAAAATACTATTTTAGACATTTAAATCCTATGCTAGGTAAAGTGTTTGTCTTCTTTCTTGGGATTTATAAAGTACATGTCAAGAAATTTAGGGTGTGATTTACATTAACCTTAAAAATGCTGTGTTTCTCCTACATTGCTGGTGGGACTGCAAGCTAGTGCAACTTCTTTGAAAAGCAATATGGAGATACTTCAAAGAGATACAAGTAGATCTACCATTTGATTCAGCAACCCCATTACTGGCATCTACCCAAAAGACATTTTATGAAAAAGATACCTGCACTCGAATGTTTATAGCAGCACAATTCACAATTGCATAGATGTGGAAACAACCTAAGTGCCCATCAATACATGAGTGGATTAATAAAATGTGGTATATGTATACCATGGAGTACTATTCAGCTGTAAGAAACAATGGTGATATAGCACCTCTTATATTTTCCTGGATAGAGCTGGAACCCATTCTACTAAGTGAAATATCCCAAGAATGGAAAAATAAGCACCACATGTACTCATTGGTACTTTGGCAAATTGGTATTAATGGATCAATTTTGGTACATTGGCAAATTGGTATTACAGATCAACACGTAAGTGAAATATAGGAATAACACTTATCGAGCGTAGGGCAGATGGGAGGGAGGGGGAAGGAGATGAGTATATACATACATAATGAGTGTCAATGGCACTGTCTGGGGGATGGACACGCTTGAAGCTCTGACGGGGGGGGGGGGAAGGCAACACACATAACCTAAACATTTGTACCCCCATAATATGCTGAAATAAAAAAATTTATAAATAAATATAAAAAATGTTTTATAGAAATCAATGCATCATTTTTCTGATTAAAAATTTAACACATGGCCAGGTACAGTGGCTCAAGCCTGTAACCCTAGCACTTTGGGAGGCCAAAGCAGGAGGATCACTTGAGCCCAGGAGTTAGAGGCTGCAGTGAGCTATGATTGTGCCACTGTACTCTATCCCGGGCAACAGAGTGAGACCCTGTCTCAAAAAAAAAAATAAAAAATAAAAAAAGCTGTGTTTTATAGAAATCAGTGCATCATTTTTCTAATTAAAATTTTAACACAAGATCTCAAATCTTTTTGCAGTGGTAGGGTTACTTTTATTATAGATCTTTAACATAATGAAAAATTATATATCTGGCCCAAAATTGGTACTTTAGTCTTACAGGAAAATAGCCAATCTGCTTGAAGTATGTGTACAAATAATTTAGTGCTTTAGCCCCTACTGGCAATAAAATATCTCTTGATTTTTTTTTTTTTTTGGTAGAAAATTTTTACTACTGGAGATACCAACAAAGATGGCAAGCTGGATTTTGAAGAATTTATGAAATACCTTAAAGACCATGAGAAAAAAATGAAACTGGCATTTAAGAGTTTGGACAAAAATAATGATGGTATGTCTTTCTTTTCTATTCATCACCAGCTGTGAAGGAGTACTTCTCATGCTTCCAAAAGTCTAAAACAATGCATGTTTAGTCACTCAGTTTTGAGATGATAGTTATTACTTGTGATAATACATACTTTTCTTAATAATGTGACTTTTATATAGAATTCATACTTTTAGTGAAGAAAACTTACAGATAGCTTTGTCTTCTGAATTAAAAACTGTAGGTAAGGCCTGTTGTGAAATATTAACTATGGAACATTATGCCAATTTTACTAAAGCTATGGGTTAAAAATAATAATTATGTCCTCTTGCCTTCTGAGTAAGAGAAACTTATTTTGTTTGTATATAGGCATAACTATTGTGTATTCTAAAATTTAAAAAGCTTTCAGATTATCTTGCATTTGACAGTCATTTTGAAGAATTAATTTAGAGAAGATACTGTTTGATACTGAAAATTAGAAAAAAATAGCATATACTCATTTAAGTATGTATCTGTTAGTTGGGATTATGGTTTCTCTATTTCAGGAGTCCTCAAACTACGGACCCGTGGGCCACATGTGGCCCACCTGGCACATTTATCCGGCCCACCGAATGTTTTTGCCACGGCTGCCTGTCCTGCTTAGCAGCCGACTTGTCCCGGGCCCACAGTGGAATGTGTGCTGCACTCTCCAACGGCCTTCCAATGGTCTGAGGGACAGTGAACTGGCCCCCTGTTTAAGTTTGAGGACCCCTGCTAGATTAATAGTTTGGAGTTTGTCTTAGTTTGTTTTCTGTTGCTATAACAGAATACCACAGACTGGGTAATTTATGAAGAAAGGGAAATTTATTTCTTAATAGTTCTGGAGGCTGGGAAGTTCAAAGTTGAGGTCTGCATTGGGTGAGGGCCTTCTTACTACATCGTAACATGCTGGGAGGCATCACGTGGAGGAGACAGAGCAAGTATCCTACCGCAGATCTCTCTTCCTCATCCTATAAAGCCAGCAGTCCCATGGTGAGGGCTCTACCCAGACAACCTTATTGAATCCCAGTTACTTCCTAAAGGCCCCACCTCCAGATTCATCATCATATGAATTTGGAGATTAAGTTTCCAACACATGAAATTTGGAGGACATATTCAAACCATAGTAGAGTTAGAGTCCCAGTTATGTATGGCAGAAAGCAAGGGTATGATAGAAGAAAGGGAGTCATGAAGCCTTCATCACTAAAGGCAATCTTTATAGGAAGAGGGAATTATTAAAAATTTAATATAGCTCCAAACCCCTCTCTACATATGATTAATCATGGTCATTCTATTCACACACTTGTTATTTAAGAAACAAGTTAAAAAAATAGATTGAGAGAAAATATAGTTCATATCAGGGTTGGCAAACTTTTTGTAAAAGTCCAGATAATATTTTGGCTTTATGGGCCACATGGCCTCAATTGTAGTTGTTCATCTCTGCCGTGGTACGTCAAAAGCAGCCACAGACAAAATGTAAATGAACGAGCATGGCAGCATTCCAATAAAACTTTATTTGTAAAGACAGTCAGTGGGCCTTATTTGGCTTAAGGATTATAGTTTGTAAGCTCTTGGTTTATACTGAATATTAACTCAAGTTAAATTCAAAGTAAGTTATTGCAAACAAACAACTAAACCCTTTGAGTGGTTTTGATGATCACTTAAGTCTGTGACTCTTAGCCAGGAAGACCAGAATTTGTGGTGAAAGTAGTACCTTTGGAACGTTTTTTGCCTCTAGTAACTTTACGTTATATGTCTCCAAGTCTAGCCTTAGTTTAATCTTTGAGCAAAATTCAGTTCTTACACTCAGCTTTTCTTCTTCCCTGCAAACTTTTATCCCCACCTGACCCTCGACAGTTCAGTGACAGAGACAGTTCAGTTACAGATTGTGCGCTGTTAGGGCAGGCAGTGGCAGGGAGGTAGAGCTACCTCAGGATCAAATGCCACATACTTAGAGGTTGATCATCTCAGTACAGCAGTTGTGCACACATCAACTGTCCCTTTCAGAGAATTCTAAATGAACCAGAGGAAATAAAGATGAAATTTTAATGATACATTTGTAGCAATTGTGAAGTATCCCTTTATACTTTATCTTATTTCTATATTTTGAAACAATTTCTCATAGATTTATATTTTTATTTATCAGACTTCCTTAAAGCAAAGCATTTACAGTTGATCCTCATTATTCACAGATTCTGTATTTGTGAATCTGTCTACTCACTAAAATTTAACCCAAAATTCACCCCCAAATGTATACTTGTAGCTCTTTCCCTGTCATTCATGGACTTGCACAGAGCAATGACAAATTTGAGTTGCTCAACATGCACATTCCTAGCTATGTGGAATATGGCAACACTGCCTTCTTGTTTCAGCTCTCATACTGTAAACAAGTGACCTTTTCCAGGTGTATCTTGTGCTATATTTTTTGCAGTTTTGTACTTTTTGTTGATGATTTTGCTTTTTAATACGTTCCCCTAATGTAATGCTGAGGCACTATCTAGTGCTCCTAAGTGCAAGAAAGCCATGGTGTGGCTTATGGAGAAAATACATGTGTTAGATAAACTTCACCATTAGTGAATCGATGATGTATATTAAATAGGTGTTTTTAAACAGAAACACACCTAAGACAAGGTTACGTATTGATCAGTTGATGAAAATGTGATTGGAAGCTCACAGGAACCTAACCCTGTATTTCCCTTAGGAGGGGTGGCCCAGTATTTGCTAATTCAGTGTTGCAGTGACTTTATAGAACATGACTACTGTGAATAATGAGAACTGACTATATCTCTTTAAGAGTGCAGGTCTAAAAGAGAATATTCATAGTGGTATTTGAAGAATTTCATTGCAAACAGATAATGCCTCTAACTGTCCTTGCATTGTCTAGATTCTCATGCTGCTCTTTCCCTCTCCCCAGGAGGATTCTCCTGGGATGCTGTCCCTTCTTTAAGGTCCCTTCTCTTAGACTAAGTCTTTCCTTTTACCACTAACTGACAGTAATTTTTATCTTCGTCTTTTCCTGGAGAAGTTTGCTGTTAATGCAATGCTGCATTGGCATAAGACCCTCTCTTACTTTTGTTTTGTTTCATCCTATTTCCTGTATGTTAGTCTTAGGATTCTCAGGAGCCCATAAGCTGCTTGAGGGAAAGGCAGTAGTGCTTATGTTCATTGCAGATATTTTCTGTTTTTCTTTCTCTCTTTTCATTGTTTTCCTTCTGTCTATAAACATGCTCTAATTTCCTAATACTAAAATTTTCTCTCATCCATCGGCTTTCTACCTTTGCTCTCTTTATTTTTAGGGCCAGATTTCTCAAAGAATAGTCCACCCTTTGAGTCCATTTCCTCATTTTCTACTCCTTTTTAACTCAGTCATATAATATGACTTTATGCATAATAAATGTATAGTCATTTATTAATATGTGGAAATAGGTACTGTTAAAACAAGTAGATGCCAGTTTAATTGAATTTACCTCAGAGTTAGGCTATCTTGATTTGAATCTCAGTTCTCCTACTCCATAATTACATTACTTGGTAAGGCCACTTGAGCTCCTGGTCTCCTCTTAAGAGGAAATTATTATTTATCTACAAGGCTCTTATAATTACTGAATTAAAAATGTTTAATTGTGTGTGTTAAATTCTGAATATTGATGTTATTATATGTATTTAAGCAAACCTATAACTTAACCTAAATGCATAATTTTGCCTTAATAATTTCAAAGCTTTATCTTAAATGAGAGATTTGAAATTCATGGTTTCTAAGGTCCTTGTCAATTCTGAGTCTGACTTTATGCCCTTTTCATTTTTTTAAAGGAAAAATTGAAGCTGCAGAAATTGTCCAGTCTCTCCAGATACTGGGTCTAACTATTTCTGAAAAACAAGCACAGTTGATTCTTCAAAGGTAAGGTCTTTATCTTAATGACAGGTATTTTTGACTTTCATTTTAAAATCCTGCTTTAGAGATCTGCATTTGTTAAGTGTGGCTTTAAAAGATCTTCCAGCATGTCACCATTCTTCAAGTACATCTTCCCTTTTTCTTCCTTTCATTTTGTATATGTACATGTATCTAAAGTGTAGGAATGGAAAATGTAATCTCAGACTGGACTCTTTCTTGCAAAGCCTCAAGGGCCAGTGGAATGGCGGCAAAGTTTTAAATCTATAGGTAAGAGTTTTCATGTTGCTTTTTTCCCCCATATGGGTTCTAAAGTGACACCAGATATATCAAGTTATTTAACCTACATGTGACTGGATAAGAGGGAAATTGCCAAGCTCTCCTGGTTAACAAAGAACTATTTAACTATTCAACTCCTGGTTAACAAAGAACTATTTAAACTTTCAGAAAAAAGAATGCCAATTTGAACCTTATCGTCGAGGGCAATTATTTCATTGACTTAGTAAGCCAGATGTTCGCAGAATTAATGCTTGATTTCACAGGACAGAGCAGTAACCTCTGTAGTCCAGGTGCTCTCAAATACTCTTCTGCTGTAAACACAATACAAGGACCAGTTTTTTTATGATAACAGAAAACAGGATGATTACAATATATTAATATTCTTATGAATGAGTATAGTCTTCACATTATCTAACAAGTTTTTTTTTAATGGCTTTATTGTTGAAATTATCTTCTTTTATATCTGCACCAGTAGCATTTTTCTCCTTTCTGTCTGTTCAGAATTTCTTTTATAAACAGCTGCTCAACAGGAATGCTCCAAGTCTGAAGTCTTAGCACAGACAGAGTTACTTTTGTTAGCTCTTGATGAGAAGGGCTTTCCTGAGGAAATGAAAATCTAAAACAGAAAAAGGAGATAAACAGAATTTTGACAGTGAGATAGGCAGCATATAATATTCTGCTTATAAAGTCATATTCTCCCAGGAAAGTAAGAGTTTTTTTCTGGTTCTTAAGCCAGAAATCATATTCCCATATTTCCTGTGATAGCTTTAAAAATAACGTGAATTCCAAGCCCAACATTCAGAAGAGACTAAGATGTATTAGTTAGCTCGGCTGTCATAACAAAATACCAAAGGCTGCACCTTAAATAACATAAATTTACTTTCTCACATTGTGGAGGCTAGAATTTTGAGATCAGAGTGCTATTATGGTCAGGTCTGGTAAGAGCTCTCTTTCTGGCTTGCCTTCTCACTGTATCTGCACATGGTGGGGGGCAGAGAAAGAGAGAGAGAGAGATCTTTTATTTATTTATTTATTTTTTATTTCAGCATATTATGGGGGTACAGATTTTAAGGTTTCAATAAATGCCCATTTCCCCCCTCCCCCCACAAGACTGAGTTTCCAGCATGACCATCCCCCAGATGGTGCACACCTCACTCATTATGTATGTATGTACCCACCCCCCTCCCACCTGCCCAATACCCTATTACTGTAGTACCTATGTGTCCACTTAGGTGCCTGCTCAGTTAATACAGTTTGTTGGTGAGTATAGTTGCTTTTTTTTCCATTCTGGGTACTTCACTTAGTAGTATGGGGGGTCCAGCTCTGAACCAGGAAATTAAGATTACTATATCACCATTGTTTTATTAGAGCTGAATAGTACTGCCAGTGGTATACATAATACGACATTTATTAATCCATTCTTGGATGATGGCACTGGCTTTTCCACAGCCTTCGGCAAGTATGGAAATTGTGCTGCTACAAACATTCGATGCCGGTGTCTTTTTTTGTGAGTGTCATTGGATTTTATAGGTAGATGCCCAGTAATGGGATTGCTCGGATCAAAATGGTAAGAATTCACACTTGTTACAGCTTTAAGAGTACTCCATCCATATTGGCTTTTACCACAGAGGTTGAACTAGTTTGCATCCCACCAGCAGTGTAGGAGTGATCCTCTTCTCCCATCCATCGCCAGAATTTTTGATTTTGAGACTTTTTGATAAGCCATTATCCACCTGAGTAAGTGATATCTCATTGTTGTTTTGGATTTGCATTTCCCTGATGAATTAGAAGATGTTGAGCATTTTTTCATATGTTAATGTTGCCATTCTTCCTGTCTTCTTTAGCAAAAGTTTCTGTTCATGTCACTTTGCCCTACTTTTTAAATAGGACTTATGTTGATTTTTTTTGCTTTGCATTTTAGTGAGTTCTAAGGTATATCTAGTTTTATTCAGCCCCTTCTCAGATGCGTAGGATACAAAAATTTCTACATTCTGTAAGGTTGTCTGTTTATTTTCCATGACCTGTTTCTTTGGCTGTGCAGAAGCTTTGTTAGTTTGATCATGTCCCATTTATCTTATTTTTGTTGCTGCCTGTGATTGCCTTTGGACCTTCATAACCCTCATTGCCTAGGCCGATGTCTAGGAGAATGTCTTCCAACATTTTTCTCTAGAATTCTAATAGTTTCATACCCTGAAGTTGTAATCTGTTACAGCGTGAGTGATTTTTGTGAGAGGTGAAAAGCGTTGTGGGTCCTGTTTTAGCCTTCTACAGGTGCTTCCAGTTTTCCCAGCACAGTTATTGAAAAGGGATTCTTTTCCCCAGCGTATGTTTTTGTCTGCTTTGTCAAAGATTAGATGGCTATATGAGGATGGTTTTATATCAGGATTCTCACATCTGTTCCACTTAGTCAATATTCCTATTTTTTGCCAATACACATATTGATGTTAATTATACAGTTTGTAGTATAGTTTGATATCTGGCACATATTAATGCCTCCCATTTGTTTTTTGTTGCCTAGAATTGCTCTTGATATTCGGGGTCTTCTTTGGTTCCATACGAACGTAAATTATCTTTTCTATATCTGTGAAGAATGCTGATGGGATTTTAATAGGTATTGCATTGAACTGTAGATCAGTTGGTGTAGTATAACATTTTATGATGTTGAGTCTGCCAACCCACGAGCATGGTACTGGATTTCCATCTGTTTACATCCTCTGCTATTGTCCCTTCCTAAGTGTTTCATAGTTCCTCCCTGTAAGAGGTTTTTACGCTCTGTTAAGTATATTCCTAGGTACTTTAATTTCTTGTTGCTATTGTGAACGGGAATTGAGTCTTTGATTTGGTTCAATTGGATTGTTGTTGGCATATATGAAATGCCTCTGATTTCTGTGTATTGATTTTGTATCCTGAGACTTTACTAAATTCATTTATCAGTTCCAGGAGTTTCTTGATTTAATCTTTGGGGCTTTCTCAATATAATATCATATCATCAGCAAACAGTGAAAGTTTGATTTCTTCTGCCCCTATTTGGATACCTTTAATTCCACTTTCCTGTCTGATGGCTGTAGCCAGGAATTCCAGCACTATGTTGAATTGAAGTGGAGATAGTGGGCAACCTTGTCTGGTTCCAGTTCTAAGCTTGAAAGCGTTCAGTTTTCCCCATTCATATGATGTTGCCTATGGGTCTGTCATATAGGGCTTGTATCATTTTTATGTATGTCCCTTGTATGCCTATTTTATTAAGTGTTCGTATCATGAAAGGGTGTTGAATTTTGTCAAAAGCTTTTTCTGTGTCTATTGAAAGAATCATGTGGACTTTGTTTTTGCTTCTGTTTATGTGGTGAATTGCGTTTATAGATTTACGTATGTTGAAGCATCCCTGCATCCCTGGGTTGAAGCCCACTTGATCGTGATGGATTATTTTTTTGATAACCGTCTGGATTCAATTAGCTAGGATTCTGTTGAAAATTTTTGCATCTATATTCATTAGGGATATTGGTGTGTAGTTTTCTTTTTTTGTTGTATCCTTTCCTGGTTTTGGTATCAGAGTAATATTTGCTTCATAAAAGGTGTCGGGGAGGTTTCCTTTCTTCTCGATGTTGTAGAATAGTTTTGTAAGTGTGGTAAAATTCGGATGTGAAACAGTCTGGACTGGGACTTTTCTTTTTAGGGAGATTTTAATTGCTGTTTCTACTTCAACCTCTTGAGATTGGTCTGTTCAGGGAATCTATTTCTTCCTGGTTGAACCTAGGGAGGCTGTGTGTTTCTAGAAATTTGTCCATTTCCTCCACATTTTCGAGTTTGTGTGCATAAAGATTTTTGTAGTATTCATAAATTATATCTTGTATTTCTTTGGGATCAGTTGTGATATCTCCTTTTTTGTTCCTGATGGAGCTTATTAGACATTTCTCTTTCTGCTTTTCGTTTAGCTTAGCAATGGCGTGTCTAATTTTGTTTATTTTTTCAAAGAACCAACTTTTTGTTTTATTAGTCTCCTGAATAGCTTCCCTGTTTTCAATTTCGTTTAGTTCTGATTTTTGATGTTGTTGATTTCGTTTCTTCTGCTGGGTTTGGGGTTGGTCTGTTCTTCTTTTTCCAGCTCTTTGAGTCATTTTGTTAGATTGTCTATTTGTGATCTTTTTGACTTTTGGTTATAGGCATTTATGGAGATAAACTTTCCTCTCAGAACTGCTTTAGCTGTGTCCCAGAGGATTTGATAACTTGTCTCTCCATTGTCATTTTGTTGAAATTATTTTTTTCATTCCATCTTGATTTCTTCATTTATGAAGTAATCATTTAGTAGGAGGTTGTTTAATTTCCACGTTTTTGTGTAGAAATGTGAGTTTTTGTTAGGGTTTATTTCTACTTTTATCCCACTGTGACCTTAGAAGTTACATGGTATGATTTCTATTTTTTAAAATTTCTTGAGGTTTACTTTGTGTCCTAGGATATGGTCAATCTTAGAGAACATCCCGAGAGCTGATGAGAAGAACGTATATTCAGTGGATTTTGGGTAGAATGTTCTGTAAATGTCAGTCAGACCCAATTGTTTTGTTTAAGTCCATTATTTCTTTATTAATTTTCTGTTTGGAGGATCTGTCTTGTGCCGTTAGAGGGGTTTTGAAATCTCTGGTGATTATGGAGTTGCTATTAATCAATTTGCTTAGATCCAGTAAGGTTTGCTTTTTGAAACTGGATGTACCAAAGTTGGGTGCATATATATTTAAAAT